GGAGCTCCACAACCCCCGATGGGCCCTGCTCTGTGCATGACAGGGGGAAGCTCCCCAACTCCCTAATGGACCCTGCTCTGTGCATGACAGGGGGTGGCACCCCAAATCCCTGATGGGCCCTGCTCTGAGCATGACGGGGGGGGGAGCTCCCCAACCCTCTGATCGGCCCTGCTCTGTGTGTGACAGTGTGAGGTGCCCCAACGCCCCGACGGGCCCTGCTCTGTGTGTGACAGGGTGGAGCCGCAACCTCCCCATTGGCCCTGCCCTGATTATGATGGGGGGAGTGCCTCAACCCCCTTATTCACCCTGCTCTGTGGGTTTCAGGGGGTGGCGCCCAAATCTCCCCATCGACCCTGTCTTGAGTGTGACAGGGGACAACACCCCAATCCCCCAATCGGCCCTACCCTGACTGTGACTGAGGGTGGCATCGCAACCTCCCAATCTGCCCTGCTCTGTGCATGACAGGGGGCGGCGCCCCAATTCCCCAATTGGCCCTGCTCTGAGCCCGACCAGGGGCTGCACCTAGGGATTGGGCCTGCCCTCTGCCACCCGGTAGCAGGCCTAAGCCAGCAGGTCGTTATCTCCCGAGGGGTCCCAGACTGCAAGAGGGCACAGGCTGGGCTGAGGGACCCCCCTCCCCTCCAAGTGCACAAATTTTTGTGCGCCGGGCCTCTAGTGTTATCATAATAACAACTCACATTTGCAGGCTTCTTTGCATATTACACACCCTTTCTTGTCCGTTACCTCATTTGTGCCTCACAACAACCCCGTGAGAGGCCTGTTACCCCCATTTCCCTGACAAGGAACCTGAGGTTCAGAGGTAATGCTGCCCCTTCCACCCACCAGTAAAGCCAGACTAGAACCCAGGTTTCTAGACCCTAGTTAATGCACATCCCATCTCTCTTCCCCACCCCCCCCACCCTTCTTTTCCACAAAAGGTATCAACTGCTCCCCTTTGATAACTTCCCATACACCCAGGTTCTCCCCTAGGAAGTCAGGGGACCTCCCTAGCCCCAAGTGGTTTTTCACCTTCAACTCCATCTCAAATCTTTTGCCAAACTGGCCACAGCCACCCCTCGCACCCCACCTCCCAGAATTCAACCCTCCCTCTAAGCCTGCCCCCTGGCTTTCCTCTCCCTCCTGCTTCCTCCAGGGCCCTCCAGGCGGCTTCTCCCAGCTCTGGAGGACAGGGGACAGGAGGGGAGACTAGTGGTTGGAGGAGGGACGGGGAGGCTCCCACAGGAAGCTCCTCTGGACCTGCAGGGCCCGGCACTCAGCTCTGCCGGCTGGGCTCCTGCAACACCAGCAAGGTTGCGCAAAACTCGAGGAGGAGAGAAACAGCAGTACACAAGGGTGGGGGAAAGGTTAGGTACAGGAAGCGTGTGTGGGAGAGCCAGCAGCACAGTCCATCCCAATTTCCCCAAACACGACATTGTCCTTCATCCCCAGGGAAACCTGTTGGTGAAGTCCTAGGTGTCTCCTTCCAGAAGGGGCCTCCTTGAGGTCATTGTGCCCATCCCCCGGCCTCTAGGCAGGCTGTTCTCTCTATTCCTTCCAAGCTGTCTGGCTGAATGGTATTAGCCGTTCTGCCCGGGGAAACTGATGCTTGGGGCGGGGCTTGTGGAGGCATCAGGGGCCTTGGGGGGAAGGCAAGGGGTCGAATGAATATGCTGAATCACAGCTGGGACTCCTGCCCTCCCACTCCCACCTTTTTTCTGCGTGGTGTTCGGCGGGGGTGACGGTGATGTCACAGGTGCAGTGTGCCAGCCATGTGCTGGGCGCCAAGCAAAACAGCCAGGGCGAGTGTGTGCATCATCAGTGCCCGGGAAGGAAGGCCACCAGAAGAAGTGAGTCTCGTGGAAGGACTTGAAAGAAGGAAGGGAGGCACCTTCTGGAGGGGGGCGGGGAAGCCCAGCATAAAACGGCTGCAGCAAGGACTGGAGAGAGAGGGCCCAAGCTGGCGCTGAGGAGGGATGTCCCTCATCCTCCCCTTGTCTGCTTCTCCCAGAGCCTGTAAATGCCCCAGACATGAGCCAGCCCAGGCCCCGCTACGTGGTGGACAGAGCTGCATACTCTCTCGCCCTCTTCGATCATGAGTTCGAGAAGAAGGACCGGAAGTACCCACTGGGAGAGAAACTTCGCTACGCTTTCAGGTAATGTGACCCAGAGCCCAGACTCCTCTCCTCTGCTCCCCGCCAAAGTCTCTCCTGCACCAGGCGAGGCTCTCGCACCAGCATCCCTCACACGGAGCTCGGGGAAGCCCTGGGAGGGCTGGTGTGGAACCCTGAATGGGAGATCCTATCATTTCAACTGTCCTGAGACTCCCAGGGAGGATGGGGAGTAGGAGCAAAGACCTCCTCCCCCCCCAGCTTCAGCAG